CCTAATGACATTGAAATTTTCTCCCTCCTTTCTGTATGCCTTCGGGGTGTAACGGTTAGCACACTCGGCTAGTATTCGACAGGTCCAGGTTCGAGTCCCGGCGAGGGCATTGCTCATTTTTTCCTTCTCCAGCATAAAAAAAAAAAAAAAAAAAAAAAAAAAAACTAATGATTCTGCACAGATCACATCTTTTCCTCGACGAACCGAAATCAGATATTATGCCCGAAATCGATGGAAGCCCTAAATTAATGTACTCAGTAGAACTCTTAATTCTATATCAAATAATCTGCATTTGCGTAATTTTCTTTTAGTCACATGCACAGGTAGCAGCACTCTTATTTCATGAGCATTTGAAAACGCACTTCAATAAACACTAATTTATTTTTTAAAAATGAAATTTACATTTTGATTTGGAATTCAGAACTGAGCTCAGGCCTGAAAGGGCCTAGCAAAAGACTGCAAAATACTGGTAGTTCTCTCCGAGTTAAAATCCCGGCAGATGGGCTGGATGCACGGGAGATTTCTTGATTTTTTCCGTGTGTAACGCGAGTCTGTTTCCCTTAAAATATCCTCCACGAAAGCGGGCCTCCCCTTAGATAGACATTGTGTGTTTTTATATTTATTTTTCATTTTTATCCAAATTTACATTTGTTTTTATGAAACATTTAATATAAATTAAAGATATTAAAAGGTAACATCTTTAAAGCATTGTTAGCCCAAAGGGCGTTAACCCAGAAGGGCTATTAATTTCTTAAACATCACTTTTCAAATTCTTGGCACCCAATATTATCGCACTGTGTTATATTTAAAGAAATTAAATAATGAATAATCTGCATAAATATATGTATCTTTCTCGCAATGTGATAAACAACAGTACCTAGAGCCATCTAATTTTGAATAACGTACGTCTCCGCCCGAATATGGGCATCTGGAAGCCCACGTTAGGAATCTGGAATATGTTTTATTATCTATTTCATATTTTGTAAAGCATTTATGTGTTTTTGATTAAGAAACAAATGATTTCAAATCTAGCCATGGCAGCACTGTACGGGGGGGGATTATCTCCAGCGCCGCGAGATTGTGTATCGTAAATTCTAAAGATAGGCTATTTTAAATTAAAACAATTAAGTTTTATGCTAATGAATTCTAAAGGTATACCGTTTTTAAATATTTTGCGATGTTGCTATGGAATGAATTTATGAGGCTTAAGTGCGAAGAAGAACATGATATTTAATAAATAAGTTAACATACAAAACGTTAATAGTAAAAAGACAAAAAAAAATTGCAAGCCATCTTATTAAAAAATCGCAACTTTGATATGATGCGAGAAAGAACGATGCGGGGAAATATATATATATATATATATATATATATATATGCCAACATTCAACATTGCATCCTTAATTTTAAACGCGTGCTTCTATGTTGCTTTTAAAATTTTTGTAAATTTTCTCATTTTCTCTTAAATTGTATATGGCGTAAGTGCGAGGAAAATGATGATTAATAATAAAGCTAGAAAGAGAAAAAGGAATAGGTTAACAGGAGTCAGTTTAAGAGCAGACTGGTAAACTCCGAGCTCAGGGAAACCTTAATAAAACATTTTGCGTAACCGTTAAAATTTGAACTCTTTCAGATTTTCCTATTTTAGCTCCTCCTTTCTTTTTCTTTTTCAAATCAAATCAATGGGAATCTCTTTTTCAATATAAATGTTTCATTAATTATATTTTTTTTAGTACAAGGGTTTATGTTAATGGCTACTTATGCTTAGATACATTCTTTTTTATCTTTGCTTACTTAAAAGTTTCCAGATTTTATATTATGGCCAAAGCGGCTTGCTTTTCTTTAACGTTTTGTGTGTTATCTTTATATCTCTTTGCAATTAAACCTTGAAATTCAATTCAACGGCAATACCTCAGAATAATTTAAAAAGAACATATCTTTAGAATATCCGATACACAGTCTCGTGCGTTGAAGATAAAAAGATAATCCCCCCCCCCATTGTTGCCGTTGCTCTCTTTGAAATCGTTGAGTTTCTTAAAACAGAAACTCATAAATACGTTACAAAATATGAAATTGATGATAAAACAAATTCCAAATTTGGGCTTCCAGATGCTCATGTTGGGGTGGAGACGAACGTTATACAAAATTGGATGGCTCTAGATACCGTTGTTTTATCACAACGCGAGAAACATACATAAATTTATGCAGATTCTTCTTTATTTTATTTCTTTAAATATAATGCAGGGCGATAATATTTGGTGGCAACAATTTGCTAAGTGAAACGCCAAAACGAAATGAATAGCCCTTGTGGGTAACGCTCTTTAGGCCTTAAAAAAAAAAAAAAAAAAAAAAAAAAAAAGATGGAGAGAGAGAAACGAATTTAGAAAGCCCTGGACATTTATGTCTGCAATTTTCATCTTGTTCCATTGCCTAATATAACAGCTGCTGTGTATGAAATTTATCAGAGGGGGGAAACAGATATTGATACCGAAATTAAAGAAATCCGAGACCATTTAATGGACGAGAAGTGGGAACTGCGAATTGTTTTATGGTCGAACAAAAGGCAGGAAAAGAAATATCAGACGCCTTTTCACTCTCCCTTCCGTTGAGGGTATTTTTAAAGAGTTCGAATGGCCTCTCGTCGGATGTCCAGCCGTCCCCTAAAATAAAAATTTCCCCACCGATGAAGCCCGCTTAATCCTATTTACCGTTCTCCGCCGCTGTGGGGTAAGTAACTCAGAAGGCACATTTTGGCACCCCCTAGACCTTGTGACGTCACCATTCTAGATCCCCCTTCTCTCCCTTGGGATTTAAGGGTATTCCCCCGCACCCACTGTTTTAGTTTCTCTACAAGGTGGGGATTCGTGGTGAAAGATATCTTGCTCGATTGCCTTATGTGGTTTGGGTTTGCAACGGAAGCGATAGACTTCAGAGGTGGACTTGCTCTCAATCAGAGAAGAGGAGGATTTTGTTTTAACAAAAAAAGTGAATCAAAATAGCGTAATCACAAGACACTGTCAATTTCTTTTGAAAGAATTAATTACCTGCATTACATCCTCCAGTTTAGTTGTGAATTTAAAGACAGCATTAGCTGTAAAATTTTTTTCATGTATTTCAGGTATCTTCATATAGGGTACTAAAATCTCATTAAGTACAGCTAATTGTGCATATATTTTATGATATTTAACACTTATACGTAAAACGACAACAGGTTTCTATTGTCTTCTTCATTCAGGTAGACAGCCGCCCAGAGGGTATAGTGGATAGAGGAGCCTACTACGATACCGAAGGGTCCGGGAGCGAATCCCGGAGAAGGGATGGATATTTTCAAATGTATAGTGTTGGTGCGGCATTGCAACATTCTAAATATGCGGCGAGCCGAAAGTCCTCTCGTGTGGATTGGTGGAAGGGGAGAGGGTGAGAGATCTCTGAAGCCCGTACTGTCTATTAAAAGTGGGCGAAAAATAGAAGTCCAACCTCTCTTCGGAGTAGGCTTTGGCAATTATAGTTCTATGTAATATGGACAAGACAACACTATTTAGATAGAGTTACTGAACACACACTTGTTTTTAATTAAACTGCTGATGGCGTATAGAATCCCGATAGAAAATAAAAACACGGGGGCTTATTACATGGAATAAAGTGTATTATTAGCCCAAAGGCGTTAGCCCAGAAGGGCTATCAATTTCGTTTTGGCAGTTCGCTTTGATTCAATATGAACGGTGTTTCGCTTTTCAAATTGTTGCCACCCAATATTAGAGCCCTGTATTATATTTAAAGAAATTAAATAATCAAGAATGTGCATAAATGTGTTCTCGCACTGTGATAAATCAACGGTACCTAGACCCCTCCAAGTTTGAATAACTTAATCTTCCACAGAATATGGGCATGTAGATTCTAATTTGAATTTGGAATTTGTTTTATGATCGATTTCATATTTTGTAACACTTCAACGAATTTTTGATTAACAAACTCAACGATTTCAAAGCAAGGAATGGCAACACTGTACGACAGAAAAAAAAGGAAAGAAAACATTTTTTTATCTCCAGCTTGCTAGACTGTGCATCGGGAATTCTACAGATATGCTCTTGTAAAATTATTTTGCGATATTGCCGTTGAATTGAATTTTATGGTTTAAGCGCGAGGAACATAATATTTAATAAATAAAGGTAGCACACAAAACGTTGAAAAGAAAGCCCCTTTGGGCGTAATATGCAATTTGAAAACTTTCAGATTTTTTTTTTTTTTTTCCTCAAAATTGTTTTCTTTACCCGTAATTTTTGCATTTCCAAATCCCTGAGCTCTCATAATCTTACTCAGAGTGTTTTTTTGATGTTATCCTCAAACGATTTCAACCTTGTGGACACTTCTTTTATATTATTACGCTTTGTTTTAGTATTGTTTATGTTCTAGAATAAGGATTCCTGTTTTCGGACTTCCTGTACAAAGATTACTATATATTTTCTTACAAAATATGATGAAATAATCCAATTCAGTTATGTTCCTAAGTAAGAATAGTAATGTTCTTGACTAAGAATTCGTCAAGGTTTGGTCTTGGGCGACGGTAACTATTTATCCTTTCATTAGAAAATTAAATATCAGGATTTAGGAAAAAGAAAAATAAGGAAGAAACTAAAGAAAACAAAAAAGGCAAACTTTAAAGAAAATTGCAAGAAATACGCTAATTACATAATTTGACCGGGAAATACTAACGTCGAGGTCTTGTAAATGAAAATGAGTTGCTATTTTATGTTTCTTAATGACTTGAAAGTTGATCATGCAGTTATTGTCATTTAAGAAATTTCGTAATTTGCATTACCAGTATGCAAGAGAAAATTAAAATCTGAGATGATTTTATAAATGACGAAAAATTCCCACCTTCTATCATTTACTGTCTTGGAGACACCCGAAATCAAAATCTCACGGAGCTAGGTTTTAAAACGATTCTGTAAGGAACAAAATGACCGGATTTTCTAGTTCGAAATTAAAAGAAAACTTACCTTTCGTTCGGCAACCAAGTATCTTTCTGGCAAGATACTGTGCCCACCCCCCGACAGAGAGAGGTAATAGCAGCCGGCGGACCTCCTCTTGAAAAAGCAAGAAGACAGACACTACTGTAGAAACCACCTCCCTCACTTTTATCACCCTGTCGAAGTCCCCGCAATCTTAGGTGAGGGAAGGGGGTTGTGTTCGTCAAAATAAGCACATTACCCCCTTATGCGAAGGTGAGAGGGGGGGGGCGCCGACCACACCACATCGAACTTACGTAATCGTTCGAGATTCCGACTCGGAAAACTCTCCACACCCCACCCTTGAGCACTTCCTTCCCCGGGAGCCTATCAGGTGGCTTGCGGCGCGCGCCGCCGAAGCCGGTGTCGGTCGCGGCTGTTCCGTCCACCCCCATCACATAGAACGCCCATCCCGTTAAAGTTGCGGCCGCACGTCGTTGGCACGGCGGCCTTTCCCCCTCGTCTGGCCTATGCCTCATCGGAATTCTGCCGGCGGGCGAGAATCTGCGGCCGCAGGATGCTAATGCTGCGGCACCAGCACGGGGCCCCCACTCTGGGGGACCCGCACCACTTAGCAGGACCCCCAGTGGATTTGTCGGGACACTACGCAGCTTTCGCCGCCGGGCAGCCGCCCTTTACCCATTCGTGGTAAGTAAAAGAACGACCGCATTGGGCGGTTTTGTTTGTGCTTATTTTTATTTTTATCAACTGCTCTGAGTTATCATTTTCGTGAAGACACGCTTAACGCAATCAGAATAGGAATTTCAGAAAATTAAAAAGACGTTCTTGAAGAAAGAGCATGCGGAAGTGCTGTTTAAAATTTCTTTATATTAGTAAAAGTAAATGTAACTTTACAGTTGTTTTTCTTTTACCCAAAGATAAGTGAGGCCTTCTGTCGCTGAAGACAAAAATCATGAAAGTACGGTTATCGCCTCAGACAGTGGTGCTGAACTATTGCTTTCCAATCTCCAACGAAATAGCAAGCGTTTTTCGAAATATTCTAAAAACAGCATTGTTTAATATTTCGAAACATTACAATAGTTTTCATTGAAAGTTTGTTCGTGTGAAATAATAATAATAATAATAATAAAATAAAAAAAAATATCAGACGATGTTATACTTTAACAAGTCCTGAAAAAGGCCCTTCATCTTTATTATAATAATGTGTTATTAATCAGTGTGATAAAATGAAACATTAAAAACAATATTTTATCTGTATTTCTTAGTAAAATTTGCAACAAGATATTATTCTCTTCCATTGGTTTAGAATACAGTTCAGGATTTCCCTTTCATGTATATAATTGCAATTAGTCCGTTTGGCCTTTTTCGGTTTTTTAAACATTTTGCTTTTTCAGTTTTTTTTTTGCTATACAAATTTTTAGTCCAAAGGGGCAATTTGCCCTAAAGTATAAACATTTTTATCTCCAGCGTGCGAGACTGGGTATCGGAAATTCTAAAGATATGTTCAGTTTAAAATAATTTTGCGATATTGCGCTTGAACTGAATTTTATGTTTTAAGTGGGAAGAATATGATATTTAATAAATAAAGATAACATACAAAATGTTAAAAAAACACCTATTTGAACAGAATTTAAAATCTGAAACCTTTCAGATTTGTTTTTTCCTGTTTTTATTTGTTTTCCTACATTTGTATATTATTATGTAGTCCTGGGGTTGCGAATACATGTAGGAAAAACATCTGATCATTTGAGAGCCGCTAAAATGTTGTTTTAGAATGAAGATTTGATTCGAATATAGCGGTTTTGTATCTCAAATGATTCAGAGGAACGAAACATGTATTTGGAACTCATTAATCAAATTGGTTTAAGGCTTCAAAACACTTTTCCCTTGACAAGTTATGTTTGAAGCGTTAAACAGAGGAGATTAATACATAGTTTTTGTTTAGTGTTGTGTTTTGTATTATTTTCAGTTTTGTATACGTATTTGAAGTTTCTTTTCAGTTTTAATGTACTCTTTTTGGGTTACGAGTTACAATGAGAAAGAATTGGTTAGGGCCTTCATAGGGAAGAAATTACAATCTATCATTTAAGTTCCGACTTTTCCTTTTAATTTTATTAATTTTATATACATGCCATATATATATATATATATAATGTTGTATGATCTTAAATTCATTTAGTGCGAAAACAAGTTACTACTACTTGCGCAATTGCTGCAAAGTTAGTTAATAATAATTTATTTCCTAAACAATATTGATTAATTGATTATATTATCTCCTAAGTTTAATTAAAGTAGAATTATTTTAAAAGAGGGAATCCATACTGGTAAGTTATATTTTGAAAGATATTTTGAAAGATTAATTAAACTTAGGAGATAATATAATCAATTATTCAATATTGTTTAGGAAATAAATTATATATATATACTAAAGTAATATTGATTATATATATATATATAAGTTAATTCAATTCATAGAAATCTAACTATTGTTTTCCAATGCTGAAAACATAGTTAGAATTTCAGCTTCTGATATATTAAATAATCTACTAGAAAATTATATCTGTCTACACATTATTTTATTCAGACCGTTGTGAGGGCTTTTATATTTTTATGTGTTTTGAATTACTCTATTTTACATCAAAAAAAGAATAGAAAAAATATAGAAACTAAAATTAGTTTTCAAACTTGATGTTTTCATTTAATAGCGATGGTTTAGTTTTACAACTGGCCAAAACTGTGTTCTTTTTATTTATTAAATGATAAATTATTCTTTAATGTGTTAGACCACAATCTGAAGTTTTCAGATTCGATTTGCCACCCGGAATACATGCTAAAATTTTTCTGATAGATGGAGTTTTTATTATATAGTGAAACTAATGTTGGAAAATGATACTTTAACTTTTTTTCATTTACAAGGTGCATAAAGTGTTTTTGGGGGAAAAACTAATTTCTTAATGAAGGCGTCACTTTTAGAAAAGTGAAATATTATTGGTCTAGCAGAATCCTACAGACGGTTGTGCGTTATACTAAAGATTTCAGGGCAAGATCTTTTTTATATATATATAAAGAAGAATGTCTGTGTGTGTGTTTGTTTGTTCGCATTTAACTCAATCACCACTATAGTTATCGTCACCAAACTTTCTACAATTCATATCGTAGTCTTGGGAAAGGTCGACCTCCACCTTTTTTTTTAATAGATAAAATCAAAGATATTAATTAAAAACTCTGAAAACGCCAATATTCACCCTCATTTTTTTCAGAGTAGCAACAGTCTCGCACGCTGGAGATGAATATCCGCTTTATTTCGAGAAGCGTTGCCACTGCTCGCTTTCAAATCGTAGAGTTTGTTAATAAAAAATTTCGAAGTTTTACAATGAAATAAAAATAGCATTGCCGGACATTAAATGCATTGTTCCCCGATTCCTAAAACTTGTGGGAAGCCATTTCGACTGCTCCCATCTTCGTACGGCTTTAATCAGCCGAGATATTAATTAAAAATTCCGAAAACACTCATTTTCGCACTCCTTTTTCTGAGTGGCAACAGTCTCGCACGTTGGAGATAAAAATGCTTTGTTTCGGAATGTGTTGCCACTGCTCTCTTTCAAATCGTAGACTTTGTTAATCAAAAATTTATAAGTTGTGCAAAATCTTTATATGTAAAAAAGAATATCTGTTTGTTTGTTCGCGTTATTGATATCTGGTCAATTATGATCCATTTTTTGCTGCATTTAATCGACTAAAATTGAATATAGGTGAAATGAATGGAACTTGAACTTTTACGACCATTTGATTAGAAAGACGAAAATGATTAAAAATAGCGTCCCATTGTTTTTCGGATGTAATGACAGAGAATTAGTTTATTTTTGTATCGAAATTTTTTATGTAAGTTCCATATCACATCAGAGTGAAAAATGTATGGCTATGAATCGTATTTTTTGCATCGTTATTAGAAAAGGATTTTAGCGGTAACATTATCTTTGTTGTTAGATGCATTACTCTCCATTTAACTTAATTGCCATCGGGTACTTCCGCTAGTTGTTTGTAATTTGCATGCGTAGAAGGTTATTATAAAAGCTTTTTTTAAAAAAATTCGAATATCTGGGAAGATTACAAGGCAAAAAGTGCTCCTCATCCCATTAGATACAAAAATCGTGATTCCGATTTATTTGTATTATTCTGAAAATAATGTCTCTAATGTAGGACCCAAATGATTTCCGTAACTAGTGATTTAATTAACTTGGAATTTTAAGAAATAATTTTTCATGTAAATCTGTACAAAACTGAGCATTGTATTTTGGATATCCTTTGCTTTTAAAGTATTGAAAAGTTAATTTATTGTTGAGTTCAAAACAACCACTTCATCCAGTTTTCGAAATTACGGAAAAGGTATGCACTAACCTGAAGAAAATTTGTTTAAGCATTTTCAATATTTTTTTATATTTTTAATGTTACAATCTAAACCGATTCATGAATGCATTGAATAAAGACTAAATATGTTATATTTTTGATAGTTAAAGTTATTTTTTTAGCAAAAAAAGATTTTTAAAAGATACTATGTAGCCCCAAAGGCGTCTTAGACCCAAAGGGCTATTAGTCAGGTCAGAAAACGGCATTTTTCATCATTTAACTTTTTCCATTGGTTTACTTTTCAAGCTGTTGCCACCGAATATAATCGTCATGTATTTTATTTAAAGAAACCAAATAAATAAATCTACAGCCATCCAGTTTTGAATAATGTAGTCATCCAACCGAACGCCCTCGAAAGCCCGAATTTTGAATTTCGAATTTATTTTATTATCTATTCCAAATTTTGTAATGAATTAAAATTTTAACGAATTTTTGATTAACAAACTCAACAATTTGGCCAACGCGCGAATTTGTGTATTGGGAATTCTAAAGATGTGCTATTTTTAAATATTTTGTGATACTGCTGCTGAACTGAATTTTATGTGGTTAAGTGCGAAGAAAATGATATTTAACAAATAAAATTATAAAATGTTAAAAAAACGCCATTTGGGCGTAATATATAATCTGAAATCCTTCAGATTTTTAGTTTTTTATTTATATTGAATATCCTTTCTTTTAAAGTATTGGAAAGATTTTTTTTAGTTCAAAACAACATTTGTTTTTAAAAACGATCACTTCATCCAATTTTTGAAACTTGAAAAAAAATTATGCATTAGCCTGAAGAAATCTTGTTTTAATTCAAACATTCTTAATATTTTTTTTCCACTTTTAATATTACAATCTACACCGACTCATGATTGCCTGGAATTTAGTTTAAGTTATTTTTAACTACAAAGATTT